CTACTTACTTTAGCTATATTAATAGTTAGTAGTGGTAGTGGCATTCTATAAATTCAAACTTGGCCACACTACACACATTTGTGCAACTCGGTTCGAGTAACACCAAGTTTTGGCGCTGTTGCCGGGGATTGGCAACATCGTATTTTGGAAACAATTAGGAATTAGTACTCTTTTGATCGTGTTTTTATTTTATTTTATTTTGGTTACTTATTGTGTTTGTTCTTGATTGGCTAGGTGCATTGGGCAAGGGAAGTGTAGCAAGGGTAAATTCTAAAACAAGTAGCTAAGCTAAGCTAAGCAAATCAAAAGCATAAAAAGCTAAAAATTTAAAATTACAAAGCAAAGTAAGGCAAAGAAAAGACAATTGAAAAACAATTTCAAGTTGCTTAAGGGCCCTTTGTGAGCTTTTCTAACTCTCTCCCTAGTTAAATCGTTGGCCCGCGTGGTGGCAAGTTTAAATTCTTATATAAATCGTAAGCCCACGTGAAGGCAATTTTATTTTCTTGCATATTGTTGAAAGCATGGGAGTATAGGAACAATGTATGTGGAGGTTTGTTGATTGATTTGTTGCGGAGGCGAAGTGATTGTTACTTAATTGTTGCTAGTTGTTGTTTTGATTGTGCATGCATGGTCGTAGGTCATTAAATCCTATTCTTGTCCCACTTGATTTTTATCTTGAATCGGTTGTCCGTAATCCTTTTGGAAGGGGTAAGTCCTGTAACTACATTTCATTAATGGAGGAGCAAAATAAAGGCCATGTGGAGGACCTTGGTCACATCGACCAACAAGGCATTCTTCACCCTAATGTGCATCATGATAACATTCAAGTACCATTAGGCATGCCAAGACCTTTCATTCCACAGTAATAAGGCTAAGTTCCATTGGGAATGCCTCGGTCAATTTTTGTTCCACTTCCACCTCCCATTGCTCAAGTTAATTGATAAGCGCCGAATATTGCATATTCAAGCGCCCTTATTTACATTAGTTAAGTCCATTAGTGGTTTAATTGTATAGATTATCTCCAGTTCCTTGTTTTTGTGTATTTTCAGGCTTGTCTTCCAAAAGGAAATAATATGGAAGCTTTTGAAGGTTTTCTGAAGATCAAGTCATTTCGGACCTTTGCGTCCCTTGATTTCTAAGAAGAAATTGCCAAAGTGAGTTCATGAACAATTTCTACAAAGAAAAAGGCAGATGATTCTCAATGGCCCAATGCCAAGATCAAAGTAGAAGAAGTCCAAAGCAGAAGGGAAGAAAAATAAAGTCTAAGGTATCTACGAGCGCTCGTAGCTTCACTTACGAGCGCTCCAATTCAAGGCAGAGAGAAACAAGGTATTTACGAGCACTCGTCCGGTGCCTTTTGAGCGCTCGTCCGTCATTCAGGAGTAACCGGCGCGCGCACCATGTCACACGAGCGCTCGTGCTACATCCTACGAGCGCTCTAAGTCAAGGCAGAGAGACGGAAGCTATCTACGAGCGCTCATGCTGCGTTCTACGAGCGCTCGTACACACACTGCAGACCCACTTGTCTCCTTGATCCTTTCAATTGGATTCCCTCCTTAATGGGGTGGTTGGAAAAATATTTTTAGGGAGTATGGACCTCGGTTTTTGGGTGGTTTGGTAGACATCTTGTCTACAAAAGAAGGGGGGAAGCATGTTTTATGGAGGATCACATATTTTGGCAAGTTTTAGAGAGAGAAATATTGTAAGGATAGAAGGATTTGGTGGCTGGAAGTGCTAGGTGCGAAAATGGAAGTTTTCTCCAAGCTTCCTCCTTCCTCCATTGCTTCTATGGATAACTAACTCTCTATCTATGGAGGTGATGAAGCCCTCCCTTGTAAGTATCCTCTAGTTTAGATTCTATTTTGGGGATAATGATGTATAGTTTTGGTCTTTTCATGATCTAGAGCACCATGTTTGTTATAATGGATTTTAATGTCTATAAATGATCATCTTTAGTTGACTATCTTATCTTAGCTTGTCTTCTCTCTTGATTTGTATTGCTTGCATTTTCATAGTGACAATGGAAATGAGATTATGGAATGGTTTTAATGGCATGAAGTTAGAGAACCTTGATAGTCCATGGCTTAGGTCTTTCCTTTGATGGTTTATGCTTGATTTCCAGCTTCATGTGCTTTCATCATTGGATTAAGGGCTTGATAATCTTTAGCTTAGTGAGCATGTTTAAGGCTACACCCTAGGTTAGGTAGTTTAAATATGTGAACCTTTGATAGATTATTCTTTCCTTTTAATTTAATGAACTCCTTGAAGATTATGTAGCAACCATATGTTGCTACATATTATGACCATAATATATGTTGTTTTTCCGAAATTAGTCTTAATCTAGCATGAGTATGTTGTAATAGAGACAAAGAGCTTAACTCATAGTCATTCAATTGTCTACATTTACAACATTTATTGTTACATAGTCATTCAATTGTCTACATTTACAGCATTTATTGTTACACAAAAACATACAATTTTCATGACGAATTTTGTTAAGTTATATATGATGTTTATGAATATTATTTTTTATAAGACACTAGATTACGTTAGAAATATGATCTTCAAATTGCAAAGATGAGAGAGATCCAAATCAAACCCACCCATTGGACAAGATGAACAAACGGATTAGGTTACAATGACAAGACCAACACAACTTATAATCATGCGCTTGTCCTTATTTATAGATGAACAACTACCCTTGTGAGGCAAAAAAATTTAATTGTCACAAATATATACAATTTTTATTTTCAAGACAAGAAAAAATGGCCTTTACTGATTTTGTTAAAAAGGTCAAGAGCGTGGAAATGCATGTTCGTAAAACCTCGTTACACGGTAGCTATATTCTTTAAAATATAAGCAAAGAGAACCCTCTCATAATCTCAAAAACAGGTCAGGATTCTTGCCTTGTTCAATATCATAAATTCTAAGATTTATAGATACATAATCCATTATGCTTTATTTAGTAGAAAGTAAGGAAGAGGCGCGGAGGAGAAATAAAAAATAAGAAACAAACTTTATGTGAGGTATATATTTGGTTAATGCTTTTAAAATTGAGGTCTTCAATTAAAAGTCTTCACATTGATGTGTGCAAGTAACTTGGCTGACGATTTTGGTTGGAGTCATCACCATGTAAATATGATACTAAAGTTTATATTGTTGAGCCACATTACGGTGCATTTATTTTGAGAATATGTATGTGGATGAAATTTGTTTTCGATGCTGGTCCACTTTTTGGACAATGCATGAGAAGGACAGTCAACTAGTTAGGTCCTCGTGAAAAAAAAATACTTTACAATTAAAATAAAGTGAAACCCATGCAATTGTTTGGATACCACCAAAATTATTTTTTTGAAAAAAAAAAAACAATATATGAAATAAAATCGTGAGATTCATAAAATTTTCTCTTTAATCCATACTATTTTATCAATCATTGTTTGTAAAATATAGTACAAGTAAAAGATGGATTCGGAAATATAAGAGTATAATTCATTTTTTTTACAAATAAAGGGTAAAAAAAAAAAAAAAAACCAATGTGATGTGTTGTAGGGATTTAAAACTTTTATACATTAAATTTTCAAAGTGACTTAATTACAAACATCTTAAAAGTAATAATAATAGTTTGTTACAAGAAATATTATAACGAACAAAACTTGTATACTCACGTGTGAGTCCTTACTAATTGTTGATGTCATTCAATCACAAATATACAAATAATTTATTATTACAAAATTTAAAAAGTGATAAATAAGAACAATATATATTGTTCTTATTTATCAATTTTCAAATTTTGTAATTACAGGCAATACTTGCCTCTCCTACTCAATAAGTAAGAAGTTGACTGAAGTTGTCCAATAAAATTTCGAGGCATGTACTCAAAATTAAATAATATTACAAATATATTAAGAAATGTATTAACCTTTTTTTTTTTTTTTTTTTTTTTTTTTTTTTTCTTAGTTAGTAACTCACACACACATGCCTCCACTGAGGCTCGAATCCTTAACCTCCCTTTCGGGAAGTAAGGATTTGGTACCCCTAAGCCACAAGCCTGTTAGTAAATGTATCAACTCATTTTTAATAAATTCAATATTGATACAATATTCAATAAACTTTGAACACAATCAGGAATTGAAAAACACCATAAAATCACTCTTTTGTTTATATGTGTGTTCAAAAAATAAAAATAGAAAAATCAGATTTGATTTTCTGCAAAATATCTCTCAATTAGGCTTTTAAAAATAAGAAGTTTTAATGCAAAATCGTATCAACCTAGATGTAAAACAAAGTTTATATAAAATTTCAAAGACTTAGATATGCATAGGAAAGAAGTAAATTCCGTGCATAGGTCTTTTTGTAAGAATTTTATACAAGTAAAAAGTTTAGACAGAAACGTCTTTTGGAAAGAATTTTATATCAAGTAAAATGTTTAGATAGAATAGCAAACTGATTACCTAATCTACAATGAACCGGTAGCCACTATTAGATCGGTTCTCAAAGGACAAATTAGTATGAAAGATTAAACACTTAGAAAAATTCTGATTTGCAAAATCTGAAAAGCATACCATGTATGTAAAATGTTATAACCTTTAACTCAACTTCCTAAGTGTTATTTGTACTTTTTTAGTAGATCTTAGTATATCAAATACGAAGAGCTCTTCAATTTTGTAACCGATCTCGATCTAAATTTAAAACTTGAAAATACAATTCGATCGGACTTATTTTGACGCCGAAAATAACTAATTACAAAATATATATACCACAATGTTTGAATTATATTGATCAGGGAATTCAATAGGTATGACCAGCTCAATACGTATTAGTCATGCAGTTGCTTCCATTTACAGTTTAATTACCGGGAATAAAAAATAAATATTAAAATAAAATTCTAGTGCAAGTACAAAACCTTGGTTGTTATAAATGCATCAACATGTAATCCTAGTGGATAGATAAATGTTGGGCCCACTATATTAATTAAGACTGTCATCATATCTCTATAAATTCACACAGGTGATGGATCCCTTCAGAGATCAGATACAGTCCACTTTGCTCAGATAATCCTCTCAGGTGCGTAATAGCTAGCTAGATCGATCGTCCCCATGGCGAACGAAGAAATTCGTGACGCAGGGAAAGAAGAGGCACTGTCTAAGCATTTGTTGTCCCTAAAGAAAAAGGTGGATGCCAGCAACGTAGAAATCGAGGCAATGATCCCTCAAGTTATCAAGATCCAAAAATGCCCTCCTTATTGTGCCGGGTCCCCATCTTGCTTTGCAGGCAAAATCCAGAAGCATACCGGCCAAGCACAGTATCCATTGGCTCTCTTCACAGTTACAACAAAGATAAAGAAAAGCCTCTCACAATCTCAAAAACTGGTCAGGATTCTTGCCTTGTTCAATACCAAAAATTCTAAGATTTATACAATTATAATTTATTGTACTTGGTAGAAAGGAAGGAAGAGAGGCAAAAGGAAATATAAGAAATAAGAAACAAACTTTATCTTAGGTATATATTTGGTTAATGTTTTTCAAATTGAGGTCTTCAATTAAAAGTCTTCACATCGTTGATCAGGGGCGAAGGGAGGGGTGACAACCACCCCCCCCCCACCCAAATTTTTTTTTTTTTTAATTAGTATACATATATATATATATATATATATATATGTTTTACTACACCTGGCCCCCCACCCCCAAAACAATCAGCCCTCAAATTAGGGCGCCGCCGCACAACCAAAATTTCCCTTCTCTCTCCCTCTTGCTCTAACCCTCTGTTCTTCACCTTCTCCCGAATCTCCTCCACCTTCAGGCTTCACACAAACTGACAATCTGTAATTGACCAGGTACTTACGTGTGTTTGAATTTTCCTCAATGTTTATCACTTATAAATTATCAGAACTCTTATTTGTTTATCACTCTGTTTTTCTTCTAGAAAGACTACAGGTCACAGGTGAGCTTCTTCAGAATTTGGTGGCTGTTGGACCACCACTTTGCTGAGGATGCAAACTGCAATCTAGGACATGGTCTGGAAGACATCGAAAAGGTCTTATTTTATTTTATTTTTTATTTTTTTGCGATTTGCCATTCTCTCCCTTTTGAAAGCTAGGATACGAAGGCAAATTGCCACTGTTGCTATATTTCTTCATGATGAATGAAGTTGATTATTTGAAATTTTGCTTTATTTCTCCTTTTGACGGAATTCTTTTCCAATTTTTATTCTGAAATTCAACATCTGAGCTTTAAATGTGGCCATGTCTGGTCTGATTTTTATTTTTTGCTGTGGTTTTCCAGTGAAAGTTTAGTGTATGGATAGTGATTGTTGAGAAAATCATTTTACAGATAGAAATCACGCATTCACGTCCCAGTATTCTCAAATCTCCACTTTCTCACAATTTCAGGCTTAGTGTATGTTTGTTTCTCGAGAAAGTTCCCCTTTTTATTATTCTTTTCCAGCCCAAATGTTCTTATCCTGTTATCCATTCAAAACCGTGTTCAGTTGTCAAATACAGTACTTTTGGCATCTTGGTTTTTGGTCTTGTCAAGTTTTAGCATCCGGGTTATAGGTAAAAAGGGACCTTTCTTGTTATGGTAATGGTGAGTTTGCCTTTTGGGATTCTGATTCTCAGAGCCACTTTTTCTTGGAAGTTGTTTGGATAAGGCAAATAGGGATTATAAATTCATGTGAGAATGGTTTCTGTTCTTGTTGGTTTTGATTAGTGAAGTTAATGAGGATATAGCATTTTTACTTGATAAATGCAAGCTATGTCTTTGTTCCACAATGTTTTGCACACTAACTTCACAAGAATTTAGGAATAAGTTGTTGACATTTTATGTTATTCTGGAAATACTTTTGAATTAGTACCTGTTGATTAACTTGATTTTGAATTAGTCTACTGATTGGTCTATTTTCCAGATTAGTCCATAAAAGTTAAAGTTTTGTGTTAGCAAAAAGTGCTTGAAAAAGAAATTGTTCAGACTTTTAGTATAGATTCAATTATAGATGATTTTTCTTCTCTAAAAGATTGTCGAGCTCAGCTTTTGTAGTAGTTGTTTGGTCTTTTAGGTTTCTTTTTGTATTTATTTATGTCATATTTCACTAGATAGAGACCAATTATTATTTTGTAAACAAATTGAACAAATTTTGGCTAAATATATTTTTGTATGCATCTAATCGATCAAGAAGTACTTTTGACTTAAAATATTATTATATTATATTAGTAAAACTGTTAATATTCCGACCCCCTTACATTGAATCCTGGCTCCGTCCCTCACATTGACGTGTGCAAAGAACTTGGCTGACGATTTTTGTTGAAGTCATCACCCATTATGTAAACAGGATTCTAAAGTTTATTTTGTTAAGCCACATTATGGTGCATTTATTATGAGAATATGTATGTGGATGAAATGTGTTTTTGATGCTGGTCCACTTTTTGGGACAACGCATGAGAAGGACAATCAACTACTTAGGTCCTCGTGAATAAAAAAAATACTTTACAATTAAAAAAAAAAGGGAAATCCAAGCAACTGTTTGGATACCACCAAAATTATTTTTCTAGAAGAAAAAAAAAATATGGCATAATATTGTGAGATTCATGAAATTTTCTCTTTAATCCATACTATTTTATCAATCATTGTTTGTAAAATATGGTACAAGTAAAAGATGGATTCGGAAATATAAGAGTATAATTCAATTTTTTTTATTAAAAAAATTGTTACAAAAAAGGGTAAAAAAAAAAAAACAAAAACGTATGTGATGTGTTGTATGGATTTAAAACTTTTATACATTAAATTTTCAAAGTGACTTAATTACAAACATCTTAAAAGTAATAATAAATAAATAATAATAACAATTTGTTATAAGAAATATTGTAACGAAAAAAATTTGTCTTCTCACATGTGAGTATGTCGTCCATATTGATGTCATTCAATCAAAAATACACCAATAATTTGTTATTACGTACAAAATTTGAAAAGTGATAAATAAGGAATGTATCAACTCATTTTTTATGAGTTCAATGTCGATGCAATATTACTTTGAACACAATCAGGAATTGAACACCACCCTAAAATCACCCGTGTTTATGTGTGTGTTCAAGAAATAAAAGCAGAAAAATTTGATTTGATTTTCTACAAAATATCTCTCAAATATGTTTTCAAAGAATCAGAAGTTTTAACGCAAAAGTCATATCAACTCAGATGTAAAACTAGGTTTATATAAACTTTCAAAGACTTAGATTTGCATAGGAAAGAAGTAAATTTCGTATATAGGTCTTTTGGAAAGAATTCCATACCAAGTAAGAAGTTTAGACACAAGAAGAAACTGATTACCTTATGTAGCAGCTTCATGAACCGGTAGCCATTATGAGAACCGGTTCCCAAAAGACAGATTAGTATGAAAAAATTAAACACTTGGGAAAATTCTAATTTGGAAAAACTGAAAAACATACCATGTATGTAAAGTTTCATGACCTTTAACTCAACTTTCTTGTTCATACCTTTTTGGCTTTTTCGTAGATTTCAGTATATCAAACACGAACAACTCTTTAATTCCATAGCGGATCTCGATCTTGAATTTGAAACTTAAAAATATAACTCGATCGGATTTGTTTTGATACCAAAATTAGCTTATTACAAAATATATATCTCACAATGTTTGAACTATATTGATAAAAAAAATTCAATAGGCAGGATCAGCTCAATACGTAGTCCTGCAGTTGCTTTCATTTACAGTTTAATTATCGAAAAAAAAAAAAAATCTAGTGCAAGGACAAAACTTTGGTTGTTACAAATGCATCAACATGTAATCCTGATGGATAGATAAATGTTGAGCCTACTATATTAATTAAGACTGTCATCATATCTATAAATTCACACAGATGATGTTGATGTATCAAGGATTTCAATAGGCAGCTCTCAATACGTAGTCATGCGGTTGCTTCCATTTACAGTTTAATTACCGGGAGTAAAAAATAAAAAATAAAAATTAAATCTAGTGCAAGGACAAAACTTTGGTTGTTACAAATGCATCAACATGTAATCCTAAAGGATAGATAAATGTTGGGCGCACTATATTAATTAAGACTCTCATCATATCTCTATATCTCACACAGATGATGGATCCCTTCAGAGATCAGATACAGTCCACTTTGCTCAGATAATCCTCGCAGGTGCGTAATAGCTAGCTAGATCGATCGTCCTCATGGCGAACGAAGAAATTCATGATGAGGCACTGTCTAAGCATTTGTTGTCCCTAAAGAAAAAGGTGGATGCAAGCATACCGGCCAAAATCCAGAAGCATACCGGCCAAAATCAAGTTCGTCCAGAAGTGCCCTCCTTGTGCTTGGTCCCCACCTGGCTTCGCAGCCAAAATCGAGAAGCATACTGGCCAAGCACCATATCCATTGGCCCTCTTCACAGTTTCAAGAAAGATAAAGAAAAGATGGCAGTCAAAATAAGCTACATGCGTAGCTTATTTGATCGAACTGGAGCATCTGAAGCAACAGAAAGAGCTTGTATGGCCGCTATGTTACGGATGGAGCCCAATGTTAGGCAATGCTATATCCAAGCCAAACTGGAAGAAGGTCTTGAGCTTGCACAAATGATGCTGATCGATGGTTGCTTTATCGTCGAACTTCTATACAAGAATTACAAACAAGTCAAATATGATTATAATGATCCCTTTTTGAGAAACCCTTCAAACTACTACGCGGTCCAACGTGACTTAGTGTTACTTGAAAACCAGATTCCCTTCTTTGTTCTTGAAGAATTGTTCAGTAAGACAGTTGGAATTATAACTTCAGCGGAAAACAACAAACCCACCCTCACTAATCTTGTCCTTTCATTTTTTGGCGATATGATGGGCATGACACAAGTTGGTAAACAAGAAATCAGGTATGACACAAATCCTTTTCATATATTGCATCTTTTACATAGTCGTTACATGCCTTCCACTGAGGATCAATTAAACTACAAATACGAGGAGGTACCTGCACACAAATATTCGGCAACACGACTAGACATGGCAGGAATCAAGTTTCAGGCAAGTAAAACTTATGGAGACCTATTTGACATTAAATTTAGTACTGGTTTTCGTTGTTCTTGTTTGTGTCGAGGAGGTAGTATTGAAATCCCACATTTCTCCATTTTTGAATCAACCGAGCCATTGTTGAAAAACCTCATTGCATTTGAGCAAAGCTTTCCTTGGGTGAAGAGTTTTTTCACATCGCATGCCTTTCTCATGGATATCCTCATCGACTATGGAAGGGATGTTGAATTGCTTGAAGAAGCAGGAGTCATAGATAACTATTTGGGTTCGAGTGAAGCAGTGTGCCGAGTCTTCAACGATATTTGCAAGAATATTGCTGTACCACGTCATTTTCTTTACGGCCGCCTATTGAAGGACGTCATGAATTTCTGCACGCCTTGGCAGGTACATTTAGGAACATTGATGCACAATTATTTTGGTAATGTGTGGGTACGCATATCAGTGTTTGCTGCCTTCATCCTTTTTATCCTTACGCTTCTGCAGACTATCTACACCATGAGTTCTTATTATCATATCTAGCTACGTGTTGAATTAGGAAATAAAGTGGATGACTATGCCTTCGTTCCTACCAGTTTGTCTCGTCTATATCTTGTTAGATCAGTACCAATAATCTGGGATGTCTTTCATTAGAATAATATGTATTAGTAGTGGTTGTAATAAAATTTCCAAGTCCGTAATATGTGTACTGTGGGAATGGAAAAAAAAAAGTGTTATATATGTACTGTTGTCCTTCTGATTTACCGCTCAAATAAGAATCTTTTTTTATCTCCATGTCTTTGTTTATTAATAACCACTGACATCGCCTTTTAGTTTGCCTATTGATAATTTGATATAACTTGGCTATTTTTAAACAATGATACTACCTCAAGTTTGGTTAAATTGATAAACACCCCCAACTATCAGATACCACATCTAACACAAGGTAAATTGATCTTATTGCCTTTTTACTTGTAAATTGATAATAAAATTAACATTTTAACCTTTTTTAAAGCTATTTTAATAGACCAAAATAACTAGGGGTGCACACGGTTCCGGTTCTCACGGTTCCATCCGGAACCGGAACCGTTCACAACGGTTCCTAAAAAACGGAACCGGAACCATATAGTTTGGAACCGTTAACTGTTTGATTTTTTTCTTTTTACAGTGTTGTAAAAAAAAGCCACTCAATAAATGAAGACTTTGTAGTGAGAAAGTATCCCCGCAAGCAAGATACAGAGATCAGAAGGTGCTCAACAAGATACAAGAAAAAAGTAGGTGATATATAGTCAAATTCCTTCCTCCAATTAGCATTAAAAGTATCTTCCATAGCTTTATGGAATTGGTGAACCAAAGAAACTCTGCTTGGAGCCTCAACAGATGGAAGGTGACTTCAGTGAAGATTCTGGTTCTTCGTTCCCTCTGAGATTCTCAATGAATACCCTCCATGATGAATTCCCGTCAAACCTTTTCACAATCTCCTCGCATAGTTCATCAGATGGCTTCTTAGATCCAAACCTTTTCACAATCTCCTCGCATAGTTCATCAGCTGACTTATCTTTAGATTCTTTACTTTTTTATTATAAAATTAAATATATAATACATATATGATTTATATATATATATACGGTTCCGGTTCTTACCGGTTCCCACGGATTGGAATCGGAACCGGAATCGGAACCGTATGTCAACGGTTCCTAAATTTGGAACTGGAACCGGAACCGGAACCGTGAGAACCGGTAAAAACGGTTCCGGTTCCGGTTCCACGGTTCCGGTTCTTTTGTGCATCCCTAAAAATAACCCTTCTTAGTCACATTCTCGTTTTACTATTTGTTTGCAATGCATGATGCGGTGATCCCTTTCCTTTCGCGATATAATAAGAGGCACCTTACCTTTGTAAAAGGTCCAAATATCATAATAAAAAGGGTAAATTACACGAATCTTTCTTATGGTTTGAGAAATTACACAGACCTTCCCTGAAAATGAAACATTGTTATACATATCTCGCTTTTGAACCATCAACGAGGGTTAAATGATGAAATTTGTTGATTTCATATACTGAATAAATTAAAATTTTCATATTACCTGGTTGAAGTATGGTTATATATATATATGTATACACACACACACACATGGTTATATATGCAATTAAGTATATAAGTATTACTTGAGCTCTGGTAGCCAAATGTCACGGGCTTAAAGTTTCAGCACCACTCTAGCTGCTCCCGTGCGGCACCAAGACGTTGCTTCTACTCTCGCAAGTACTCCATAGGCGGGGCGTGACACAAAGCTCTAATAACCCACCAAAGGTGGTCACACCAACGTCTGTATAGCCTCCACCACATATTTCTGAGTTTAATTTCACAATAAAGCAAAAATATTCAATTTTAATTATGAAAATCTAATTTTTCCTAAATTTTTCAAACATTATTCACTTACACTAATTTTAATTACCAAAATTTGACTCTTTAATTGTTCTCAATTGTATAACACATATGGAGTGGTGTGTCACCGCACCAACGCTTGAAAAGTGTGCACTATTGAGTGTGAGTGTGTAAAGTGGCCAAGTTTTAAATTTATAAATGCCACTACTACCTCTAACTAAAAACATAGCTAGTGTGAGTAGGGATTGTCCTAAGGGATTATGGGCGTGCTTGTAATGGAAACAATGTATAGGGTTAGTAGGTCGAATGATCAAAAGATAGTTTGATTAATTGATTAAGCTATTATGCAATTGGAATTAAAGCAACAAAAGGTAGCAATTTAGAATGTAGGGAAAATAAATATAGAGGAGAGGACTTGGGGTACTAGAGCTCACCACTAAGCTTGAGTTCACTAGACACTAGCAATTGTATATCAATGGGGAAATTGATTTGTAACTTGTGAGTGTGCGTGCGACATTAATTGAAACTAGGTATGGATGACAAATAAGTATAGATTGTCTAGTCAATTCATATGGAAAGCACAACCTATCAAATGAGACCAAAATCCATTCAATGAAACCACAATTTATGTACACACAACTATCTAGAAGCATACACCCTTTGCATTCATAAGCATGGAACACCAAGAAACAAGAATAGATTGTCCACCTATCTATGAATCTAAGCAACTACACTACATCTACACTAAAGACATGAAAATTAAACTAAGTGAGCTAAAGGTGTGGCACAATCCATCAAGAAACAAGTGTGAACCATCAAATAAATTACAAGTGTGTTCAATTAAGCACTATGTTTTGACCATCTCTAGATTAACTTCATCCATACACATAGACATGCATAAATTTCACTAAATCTAGAAAAAAGCACATGAATCATCCATTCTAGCATACATAGACATATGGTTAGAAGTATATAATCAATTGAAAGCATTAATCCATACACATCAAGTAGAAACCACAAGATATATATATAAATCCAAGATCAAAACATTTGTTACAAATAAATCCTCAAAAATATACAAAGCACTAAGTCTAGGAAGCAAACTTAGGGGCTACTCTAGCCCCAAGAAGATGTCTAGCCACTCATTGTAGTAGTCATCCAACCCTCAAGGGCTATCTCCATGGTAGGAATGACCTTCTTTTTGATGGAAACCCTAGAAGAATAGAAGAACTCCTAAAGGTGTGTGAAAAGCTCTATAGTCTCTAGCCTCATCTCCTCATCTCCAAGATATGAGAGATGATTCTTTTATGAATATGATATCATGCTCTAAAAATGGCTCTAAATCCTTATATAGGTAGGTCAAGTGTCACACCCAATGGTCTGGATTCGTGCACCAAGGTCCCTCCAATGATTGCACCATGAGCCAACTTTTAATGAGCTGGAATTTGTTTAATTTCGGACTTGAGGAGGTTCAATTGATCGAACTGTGCTGAGATCGATCGAACATAGGTGAGATCCATTGAAAGCTGCAGAGATCGATCATCTTTGGCAGCCCCTTTTTGAATAAGGACAAATCTCTGAGATATTTTGGGAAAGAGACAAAAGTGGTAGGTGGGGTGGTAAGTGTGGATAAGATCGAATCATTTTGATCGATCGAACTTGCTGGATTCTTTTGGATAAGGACAAAGGCTTGGATCCATCTTGAAATGTCTAGATCGATGAACTCCAGATCGATCGAAGTAATTCTGAGATTGATCGAACATGTTGAATTTCCACACTTTGCTTCATTTTGCTTCCACTTTGCTTCTTTCTTCCATTCAGCTTGAGATTGCTTCATTTATGCTCTTATTTGGTTGAATTGACTTATTTTTGGGATAAGCACCTAAAAAGGGCAATAACATGAAATTAGTATAAGGCGGAAAAATAAGATAGATAAAGGTCATATAATGTTCAAGCTTAAGGGGTTTAAATGCCCACTTTTCAGCGCTCATCATGGAGTGTTGTAGTTTTTCCTCCGGTAACGGAACCGAAGAAGACTGTACCAGGATGAACAGATCATTAGCGAGGTGAATGTTGTAATTACTCCAAAGTGTGATGGCACTGGATTAACAAACGCCACTGATAAGGTTTTGTAATCAAAAGCTTATAGAAGGAGTCAGTTGAAGAACATGAAGATAGAGAGAGTTCGGAAAAGCCTTGAGAAAAACTTTGGCAGTCGGAGAGTGAGAAATGTAAGAAATTTGAGAGTTCTGGCAATATCCCAGCAGAGACGATGATGGGTCAATAATCGTTTGTGTGTAAATATATATTGTATAGAGAGTAACAGTAGGCCTGTAAATAGACCCTACTCTTTCTTAAAGATGGGTCTGTAATCATTTTTATAAGTTATATACTGCCTCTATCCCATATTAGTAGTCCACTATCTCAAATTTATATATCTCAAATTAGTTATCCGCTTTAAAAAGTCAAAGCAAAAAGCCTTATCTTTCTATCACTGTCTTTTTTATTTTCAAAAAATTTCAAACTTGTTAACTATACATATGTAAATTAAAAAGGATAAGATGGTACTTTTAAAAGGGGACAATGCATTAATTGCATGTCCCCCTTAAAAACTCCAATTTCTAAACATGGACATCTAATATGGGATGGAGGGAATATATATATATATATATATATATATATATATATATATATATATCTATATATATAGTGTATTTATGGAGCAAAAGTCTTTGTTGTTCACCATTGGCATTGACCATTGGGTTAGGGAATTTGATTCGAAGTGGGTTTGTGTCCATTAGAGTAGAAAGTTGGGAATTCGATCCCATCCAATGATTTTAACTCATCAAATTAAAGAGTAGAGGATTCAATTCCATTATTTTTTCTCACAACTCTAAAAATCAAACAAATGTTGAACCTCAGTTAACACAGAAAACAGGCTTAATAGCTGCAATGTACTATCTTAAACCATTGTGTAGTTGTGTCACAAGATAGTAAATGACTATACTATCCCTAAGAGATGATATAAGCCACTATACAAAGCAATGGTGATGATATAAGTCCTTGAAAGCTCTGTAACACCAGGTTTTGACATTAAAAAGGAAAACACCAATATTATACTTACTAAGACGAACAAATCAAAACTAAGCCAAAAGACATGTCTCAGATAGCTTTGCCTGAGAACAGAATAAGAAAAGCTACATTCCTTTTTGAGACATTCTGCCGAGAGAAACCCAAAATGAATATACATATGTTATTTCATTCTCTACCTATTTTTCATCACAAAAACAAATGCAAGGATAGACTACATGCATAGCATAAACAGGAACCAGGAGCGGGAGATTCAAAACCTCCATGAGGCCCAGGACTTCCCCACTGACCAGTTCTTGTGAACAACCTCAGAACCACCAGAAGGACTCATCCACCTTTGGAGGGGGGCATCAATCACAAGGAGGGACCACCAAGAGACATGACTCTTCACATCGCCCTCCCTGGGGAGAGGGTAACGGTCATCTTAAAACTTCCTAACTCCGCTTCTCTATACAAAGAAAAGATTTGTTGAGAATAATCTAAAAGCAACATTTTTTTATAAAAAAATCTCTTTCTTTTTGGGACATAGCAGCATATAAATGTTTTTGGGATCATTCACAATGAGGGGACAAAAATAGTGTTGCCTGAATAACCATGGATAAATCAAACTATACTGTTTTACAAAACATTGCTACAACTTACAAATGCATGTCTATGGAGGTAAAAAAAAAAGGGGGTGGGGGGGTGTAATACCCCTAATTTTCAAAATGATATAATTGAAATTTAATTATTTATTTCGTGTGTATTTTTAATTGATTATGTGGCTATGAGTTTAATTGATTAATTGTTTATTTAAAATATGTGATTTAATTGTGTGTTTTAATTAATTGAAAGTGTGAGAATTGCTTGTTTAATTGTGTGAAATTTCTTGTAATTATTTGTTAATTTTAAACGATTAATTGTTTTATTTTAATTTAAAAAAGAGTTGGATTTGGATAGTAGTAATGGATTACCCAATGGGTCACATGGATGATGAACGCTGAAAAGTGCGCATTTAAACCCCTTAAGCTTGAGCATTCTAAGACCTTTATCTATCTTATTTTCCCGCCTTATACTAATTTCGTGTTATTGCCCTTTTCAGGTGCTTATTCCAAAAATAAGTTAATTCAGCCAAATAAGAGCATTAATGAAGCAATCTTGAGTTGAATGGAAGAAAGGTGCAAAGTGGAAGCAAAATGAAGCAAAGTGTGGAAATTCAGTATGTTCGATCGATCTCAGCATTACTTCGATCGATCTGGAGTTCATCAATCTAGACATTTCAA